CTTAAAATATCAACATTTCACAACTCTTCTGTTTACAGTGTCCTTTTGTTCCAATGACATTCTCACATTTCAAAGTCCAATTCAAAGTCACATTTGCTTTTGTGTATCTGCTGCACCAACTCTCAGAGGTTAAGAAAGGTCCTTAGGTACAAGAAAATATCAGATTGTCATCATGGTATTCAAAGCTCTGACATTAGTGTTTATACACTCACTCTTGTTTCTCTTCTTCTAATCCCTTCTAATCCAGATTTGGTAAATCACAAGTATATTCTTTATGGTATAGTCTTTATACAGGCCAGTGTAGGCCTTCTTATAGAATATAAACACTCCTGGCATCTGGCAATATTAATATCAAATCAAAGAATCTAACCTTGAAGATGATGACCATTTTAACTTTTACCTGAGAAAGTTATTCATAATATATCTAATCTAGGGAAGTTTTGCACGTTCTGTCCTTCCATTTCTAAATTTCTGTAAGTCTGTGTGTATGCAGAGCAAGTGAGGGAAGCTGATAATACATACAGAGAATAAAATTGAAATATCTTTTCTCTATGTCTTTGTTGGAATTACTTGAATGCTATTTGTCCTTTTTTTTCTCTTATTCATAAGGTGGAGGGAGGGGGTTAAAACTCCTGTCATTGCAGTTAAAATTAGAAAGCACCTGCTAACCTTATACTGCAGATCAGCAGTGAACAATTCTCTATGGATGGCTTATGTTCCTACACGGATTCTTGACTTTCAAGCACAGGCCATGCTTGGTGCGTAGAGGTAATGCATCCCTGTGGAATTACTTCAAGTTTACTCAGGACATTGAAGACTGAGTTCTCTCTCCCTCCCCTACTGAAAATATTGCTTAGATTTTAAGGAAATAACCTAAGGCCAGTAACTTTCTGACTAATGGAGAATATCTGCTTACATTCCAGGGCAATGAACAAGTTCAGTACCTCTTTAAAGAAGATGCTGAAGTCACAAGGAACACAGCCAGAGTTCAGAAATCCTCTAAATGTAGGGCATCATTTCACTCACTAGAGTTGGAACATTTAACATGGAAGTTACCTATTATCTCAAGCTAGTAATTTCCATCGAACAGAACACCTCTCCGTTATAACTTTTCTCTGTAGCATTTTATGTCATTGTTATCACAATCAGCATCTATTTATATAATAGCATCCTTTTAGTTAAGCTCCTTTCAGTACTTTTGTGGTATAACTTTCATACTGGAATTAAAAATGATTCACTCTCACCCAATATTCAGTGGTGTATGATTATATTTGCTTTTACCTAGGAGTTTCATACTTTTTTTTAATGCTGATTCTTTGCAGTTGAGTGTACCTTTATTTTATTCTAAATCAACTGAAGAGCACCCTGATTATTTTTATTAATGTATTTGTCATTTACTATTTAATTATAGTTAATTAGAGATAACTTGTGGCATTCTGATACAACAGCGTGCATATAGTAGAAGATAATCAAATGTTCAATAGCTTGCCCAGATCTATGTCAGGATGTGTGACTGACAAAGTACATGCAATGATGAAAGGTTGGAAGGTGATAGACAAGACTTGGGATGTCATTTTACTTAGGGCTTACCATCAAGTAAGTTCCCACATGCAGAGGGAGATATAGCCAGCCTGCAGACTTTTCACTCAGGAAAACTCGGTACTCACCTATGGTTAGATAAGAGAGGAAAGACACATTCATTTTCTAAAACACTTGCTCTTTCCTAATGCAATGGAGTTGAGAATAATTTTTCATATCAAGGAAGCAATGATAAAACAAGCCATATCACCTACATCACCCAAGCCAGGAGCACCCCATCACTAGATAGCTGATTACAGAGAAGTCACACAATCCTTGAATGAGAGTAAGATATTGAGATCCAATGAGATTTGATATTGAGATTAAAATATTAAAATTTTCTCCCTTTTTCATATCTGAGAAAGACCAAAAGTTACAGAATCTTCTGATGGCTAGAAAAAGAGGTAAATTAAGCTAGCAAATGTACCTCAGTTATTGACACTGCTTAAGAAAGAGCTGGAAGTCAATAGGCAAAATAATGCAAAATAATGTCATCTATTCTTTTCTATATTGCCTGTCTGTATTACTATCCAACAGGTTTATGGTTTAAAAGTACACTGGGATAAAAACATATTCATGTTTAAATTCATTACACTTAAATAATACCAAGCAGGGGAAAAAAGCTGTTTTCTTTTTTATGCCAGAGTTCTCTCACTATCTCTGCCTGTTTCTCTGAGTCCCTGCTACTCTCTGTATTTATTTTAAATAGTTTTTGTTTGTAAAAATATAAAAATACATAAACTTACTGTTTCCGTTCTATCTTAATCTAAATCAAGCATGTACAAAGACTTCTTTGGAATCTCTTATTCTTGTGACTAAAACAAACTGAAAATGTTCACATATTAATAAAAATATTTCTCAAAGCTTAAAACATTGATATATCTATATTCTGAAAAATATCACAGAAAACAGAGCAATTACTGATAAGAATATTAAAAATAAACAATGACAGTCAAGAAAAGATACACAGTGAAAAACTTATCGATGCTTCTATGCTAGGCACCACAAGCCATAAAATAAATGGAGTTTGACATATCTTTTGCTGTCCTAAAGTGGACTAAAAGCAAAAATAGCATTAAGTGTATTTTTAGATACTTGAACAATGTTAGCCAATCTTCATAACTGCCAAAAATACACTATTGGCAGTATTAGTGTATCAAACAAAAGGGTGCTAAGAATATGTGAGATCTAAACTTTGTGGATTTGAGCCAGCTGTGCCCGGCAACAAGAAGTTCATTTTAATAGCCTGAACAAACCCGTCTTTCATGGAGGAACACTCCGTCACTATCTCCATCTTCTCCTCTCTCCCTGAAAAATCCCATACATGACATTTGCATTGACTTCATCAGTTTCAAATTGCACCACCCTGAATGCTAGCACGTATTTTGTATTCTCTCTTTTAATAACCAAGATGGGAGGCAATTAGTGTAATACTAATGTGTCGAAAGAAGAGTTATCATAAAATAGAAAAAAGAACAACCTTTACGGAACCTCAACTTTATAACTGCCAATTTAGTGAGAGAAAGGAAATTTCTTCACAACAGAAAGTGATCATAGATATCTATTTGCTATAAAAAGATATGCTTATCCTAATATGTGTAGTAACACTATATTTTTCATTGAAACCTACTTTTAGATTTTTATCCAGAAACAGTATATGTACATATTGGTGGACTAACATGTATTATCTTCATACATTTACAAATTACAAAATGGTTATATCATCTTACACACCGTACATGTTATCTTCATACATGTAGTAGTAGATAGTGTTTATTTATATCATATTAAACACCTGTCACCTCATTTACAGTTCTATTTTTTATTTTTAATGTAATTTTATTGTATTGTAAAGGTGATGTACAGACGGGTTACAGTTACTTATGTAAGGTATTGAGTACATGTCTTGCTGAACATTGTTACTCCCTCCCTGGTTTTTCTTACACTTCCCCCCCCCAACTACCCACACCCCCTCAAAGTTCTAAAGTTAATTTCCAACATAGTGTCTTGTGAGTATCACTGTTGCATTGGTTCACCCTTTGTTCTTTTGTCTCACCATATTATTACATAACTAAGATATGGAACCAACTCACATGCTTCTCAGTAAATAAATGGATCAAGAAAATGTGGTATATACCACAGGGGAATTATATGCTTCCATCAGAAAGAATGGCATCACCCCATTCATAAAGAAATGGAAAGACCTCCAGAGGATCATATTAAGTGAAGTAAGCCAGACCAAAAGAAACATAGACTCCATGGTTTCCCTCATTTGTAATAATCAGTATAGATCTAGGATAAAGAGGATCACAGCAGCTCACTAGCTATGTACATATGACCACATAAAATGATGCTAAGTGAAATGAACTCCAAGATATGGAAACAAGAGGGTTTTCTTTGCTGTTGTAGTTTTTAATATGTGAAGTTTACTGCTTTATTATGGTTACAAAAATATTTTTCTGGCTCTTTGAAATAAAACATTATTGTTACCTATTGTTATCCTATTGGGCAATAGCACACCGGAGCATTTTGTTCTGTATAATTTTGTATCACGAAATCTCCTTTCCCATAGTTCCTCCCCAGCTACTCTCCCTAGACTCTTCTGAGTAGTTTATGTTATTCATACATAATTTCCTGTGTAGGCTTTGGATAAAAATTGTTCCAACTAATAATTACTAGTTCCATCCATGTTATGGCTAATGAGCTTATTTTTATGAAAGTGTAGTTTTTTCTTATGCATATATGGCATATTTATTGATTTATGAGTTGATGAGCACTTAGATTGTTTCTGTTCCTTGGCTTCTGTGAGTAGTGCTTTTGGAAAACTAGACCTATAGGATATGGTTCGACATAATGATTCATTTATTTTGTGTGCATATCCACTAGTGGGTTTCCCCGATCCTACGGTAGTTCCAATTTTACAATAAGAAACTTACATTTTGTTTTGTAGACTGACTACAGTAAATTACACCTGACCATAATAAATTACATTTCTATTAGTGGCATGCACAAGTTGACATTTCTCTATAATCTTACTAGTTTGGTAATTTTAGTAATAGATATTTTTGCTGGACTGAAGTGACATCTCATTGCTGTTTGATTTTTGTTTTCCTGGTGATTATTGATTTGGACACTCATGCATGTACTTGTTTTTTCATTCACACATTATTTTGAAAAATATCTTTCTAGGTCCATTGCCTAATTTTTATTTTTTTTTATTTTTATTTTTTGATAAATAAAATTATTGCATTTAATGTCATCTTAAAAACTCAAATCATCAAATTCCTTAATGATATATAAAACAATACCAGTTCTCACTAGAGTAAATGTATGCCAACATAGCTTCTTACAATGAAAATAAGGAAGTGAAAGCCCTACCTATAGTCTGTCTAATTTAGGTCAGGTGATCATGGAAACAAAAAAATAGCAGAATTATTTATTTTATAATTATACACATTGAAGGAAAACATAATAGATAGCAGAGTTCTTTTCCACCATAAAATTATTTACACCCATTTATTTAGCTAGAAACACTAGCTTGAGAGGTACTGGTATATTCCATTTGTAATAATTTTTCTACAGCAAACAATGTTGTATGTCTGGAGAATGTTGAAGAAAATAGTTGCGTACATCTGTTCTGTCCTTTTGAGTCTCAATCACTAAGAGTTCCAAGTACTTTGGGAGAATCTTGGTCTCCTGAATGGCCTGATGAATGCACTAAAATCAAGTAGTGTATTTGTATTCCATAAATACTCTTAAATCCATACAAATGTTGTATGGGCTGTGGAGCTCAGATTTCTCTTACTTGCACAATGACATTTGAAGAGTATTTGTTATGAAAGTTTCACACCAATTTTGTTCTGTTCCTTCTTCATTAGTCTCTGTGCTTCCTTTTCCATTTTCTTCCTTTGTTGTTCTGCTGCTCTCTTTTCTCTGTCTGCTATTTTTTGCTGCCTCAGAAGTTCTTCTGCTTGCCAGGCTGCATCTTCCTCCTCTTCCCATGCATTAGTATTTTCTTGCCAAGTGTCTAAAGTCACCCAATTCAGACGACTGATGAATAAAAGGCATATCTTGTGTAGCTGCTAGTCTACTGGAGAAACCTGTGCTACCATCTGGGATGCCAAAATTTAACGGTTCTCTCTTCTTAATAACAATTTTCTGAGTTTTCCTTATAGTTGGTGTCATGTCCTTAAAATAGTCAGGTTCCAGTTGTTCCAAAGCATTTTGTTGTGATGCCACATTTCCATTCCTTCCTTCAATCTTTACACTTGTGGGTGCATCTTCATCCCAGGAGGTCCACTCCTCTACATCTGTCTGCTTTGGAACTGAAGAATAATCAACTGTAGTTGGCAAAGTTATTTGGTCTCCACTTAATTTTCTTCCTCTGCCAGACCTGCATATTAATCTCTTTAGGAATGAGAATACTGTTGCTAAGCAGGTACAAACTTTAAATAGCCGAAACTGAGTGATGGCCATGGTGGGAATCAAAACCTGCCGTGAAAGGTGCGCGGCCTGGAGCGGGACGGCGGGAAGGACCGGTAAATTTCAGGATTTGGGGGTCCCCGGGCCTGCGCCCCACCAGCCCGGCCCCCTGGCGTGGCCCCGAACGGCCCCGCGCCACCCCGGGTCGCGCCTCGCTGACCCCAGAGGTCACCCTGACCCGGAAGCCCATTGCCTAATTTTTAAAAAGAGGTCTATGTATTTTTTATTTGGGAGCTTGTAAAGCATTCTTTTTAAGATATTTGTGAATTCTGAATATCGACCTCTTTTTGGATGTATATTTATTATTTTTATATTTCAGTTTCTTTATTTGGATGGCTGTTTCTTTTGCAAAAGTTTTCTGTTTTATATATTCCCAGTAATTTATTTTTACTTTATTATCCTGTGCTTTTGAAATTGGTCAAAATTTCATGGTAGAAGCATGTCGTAGAAGCAAGCTGCTTGACTCCTGGAACCAGGAAATAGGGAGAGATGATGGATTCAGGTATAAGATAGTGTCTTCCATACAATGGTACAACTCCAGGAACTAATGTCTTCCAACTAGCCCTCAAGTTATTTAATTCTGCATTGATTGACTTATGAAACTAGAACTTCCATGATCCACCTTTCAAAGGTCTATTGACACACAAGCTTTTGGATTACATCCTTAGGTTCATCATATTACAAACTGATTTTGTAGCATAAGATATGGGCTTTAATTTTCTGCATTTAAATAACCACACCATTATTTTGAAAAGCCTGTTCTTTGACTAATACATGTTTTAAGTACCACCTTTTTTATTTTAATAAAAGAAAGTCTTGATAGATAGCCCTTTGTAGAAAAGTAATATAGATAGGTGAGTTTGCTATAAGGCACTCTAGCCATTTCCATGGGGTGAGGAACCGACTTTTCTGCCAATACCAAGATACTTTGATAATTAAAGGTTTGTAATATATTTTAAATCATGGCATGCTGCCTATTTTGTTCTTTTTTTTATGGAGATTCTTTCTTACATTCAAGGTTTTTTTTTGCTTTTTGATAAAGTTTTATATGAAAATTATAATATTGGCTTTTATTAATTCTGCGAAGAGTACTATATTTTGATATGGTATGCATTGAATTTGTGTATTATTGTGGTAGGATGAGCGTATTGTTCATTTCCATTTTTTATATTCATGACAGAGTATCTTTCCAGTTTTTGATGAGGGTGAGAGTAATCTATCATTCTTTACAATGCAAAAATAGCTTAATAAAATTAATAATTCACTTGTGATAACAATTCTCAACAAATTAGGTATGAAGGAACTGAGTTAATGTCCAAGTAAATATATCCACTATGATTGTACTACTGAATGGTGGAAAGTGCTTTTTTTCTCTAAGATCGGCAGCACGACATGGGCATCCATTTTTTTCCCCCTCACATTAGCTAAAACTTCTAGCCAGATCAATCAAAATATAAAATAATAGACATACAAATTAGAAAAGAAAAAGTTGAATTATCACTTCTTTTGAATGCTAAGATTTTGTATATGGAAAACAACAGGTCTAGTAAAAATAGACATTAGAAAGACAAGTCAAAGAGCAACAAAATAAGTATCAAGAAATGGGTACTTGCAAGGGGAGAAGGTTGGTCCATGGGGAGAGAGATAGAAGAAAGAAAGGGGAAAGTGGGGAGAATGAAGGCAAGAAGTCATTGTACGTACCACAGAACTGAGAAGTATAAGGGAGAGGTGAGTGGAAGGAGGTAAAGATATTAAAATCATGACACAGATGAAGATGCACTGTATTCATAAACTGTTTTGTTTAATGGCAACTCTTTTGTATGATTTAAATACAGCAAAAGGAGAATTAAAGGAGAATTTAGTATAATCCATATTCTAAAATTAATAAAACTAATAGTTTCAGCAGTTACAGGATTCAAAACCAACACACCATCAGTCAATATTTTTTATCTTTATATGCCAATAGAGGATTATCTGAATTAATGACCAAGAAATCAACCAATTTTCAATTGCTAGAATAAAATAATAGCTATGAACAAATTTAACTAGAGGTCCAAATTATCTGTATCTGTTTGTATGATTCAATGATGAAGGAAACAGCTTTAAAAACAACTGTTCTTCTACCAAACAAAATGAATACTGTGTGGACTTCAAATTTTGTTATAAACAAATCATCAATCAGAATATACTATAAAGCAATATGACAGAGGAGAGTAACAGAAAAAAGAAACTCAGTGCCTATATTTCCAGTTTCATAGGAGAAAATTTGATAGCTATAAATTGATGACTTTAGGTTTTTCACAGTTCTTCGAAACTAATGGTTATCTAACAAACATTGTGTGTGTGTGTGTGTGTGTGTGTGTGTGTGTGTGTGTGTGTGTGTGTGTGTGTAAAATCCTGTGGCTTGAAGGCTTGAATTCAGGCTTGAATTGTCCCTGAGTTTATATGTTCAAGGCTAAGGTCCTATCGTTTGAATCATGGATTCACTTCGAAGCTGTTGTTGTTGCTGTTTTACTTTTTTGATGGTTAATTAGAAATAATCATTTCAAATTATTTCCATTCTGGGATAGCTTTAAGCCACAATACTCAGATCCCAGCCTCCTGAGAAGCTAGGCTCATAAGTGTAAGCCACTGGTGGCCAGCATAAATAATAATGTTAAGCATGAGAAAAAATAAACAAATATAATATTCTAGAAGTATAATAGTTGGAAAAGCTACATGAAAACCACTCAATACTCATAGTAATTAAAAATCACATGCTTAAATAGAAAACACAAAACCTTGTATGTACATTAATGTGTACAAAAAGACCCACACACATTTAATTACACATGTAATTCATTCACATAAAATTACAATCTTCAAATATATTTTGCAGTTTAAAGTACTCTTCCTGAACTTTTCTCTATAAAATTTAAACTACACTATACCTTATCACCCTAAAGTTTTTGCCATATCTTAGAAACATATCATATTTTGCAAGAATCAGTCAGTCAGCCATGGGAAAATGGAGACCATCCATGAAGCATATAGCATGTGATTTTAGCCATATAGCACATTATTAACAAATGTCCACTTATGAACATTTAATAATTAGGTTGAAATAAATCCCTATGGTTTCCCATTTGGGGATACTTTCTAAATACTTTCTTATTTGTCAGTATTACAATGTCTTCATTTTATGATTATTGTATTTTTCTGGATAATGTATTTTCCATAATGTTTCTTATGCTATACATGAAGGACAGTGAGAATTTTTTTAAATAAACCAAGCTTTATTTTTTTTGTTTTATATCTCCAGAAATAATGTATTTTATTAAGTAACATTTATTTCCTCATCTTTACATTAAAAGCTTAAAAATATAGTGAGTTCTTTAAAACCCCAAAATAAAAAGCATCATATCACTAATGATATATTTATTTTCATTACCAAAACAGTGGATTAAAATTGCATAGTATCGGATGTCATTCTTCAGAAAAAATTTAAAGGGATCAAATTAAGCTGCAAAAGAGTAAATTAATGAGCATATTAATTTAGAAATCATTAGCTAAATTCTTATTTCAGCGACTGCTAAACAAACCAGTGTATCTGTAAGGGTTTTAATTATTTAGTTAAATATGGTCTTTTTAACTCCTCTCTCTGCCTGAGTTGAAAATAGACTACAGATGATTACATTTCCATAGACTTCACAACATAAGCTCCTTTTGGTTTGAAATAAGAATATAAATGTTGCCAAGTATAAACTTTATAACTGCTGTTATTTTGGATTTGATAGAGTTATGAAAATCCAAATGTTTTACAAAGTTAAAAAGTATTTTTTGCTCATTTATAACTCAAAAAATTAAAAATGTTAAACATGCCAAGAAGCCAAGCTTCATTCCATATGTCCACATAGTCTTATTAAATCACTGATGTTCATACACACATACATACACAAAAATTGAAAATAGGTCACACATATTTCAAAGAAGCTGGAATTGAGAACATGACCTCATTTGAACATAACATGTATTCTATATCTGGAGTTATTTCTAAGCAAGTGTTAATATGTATTTTTGTACACCAATTTTATTTTGTACTTCCTATATTAGCCACTGTAGTTTCAATGTGCCCAGGAACTGAGGAGTAATTGAATAAATCTAATACATATATAATTAAGCCAGGTGCTCATGATTCACACCTGTAATCCTAGCTACTCAGAACGTGAGATCTGAGAATCATGGTTTGAAGCCAGCTTGGGTAGGAAAGTCTTGTCTCCAATTAACCAGTAACAATTTTGCGGTGGTGCTGTGGCTCAAGTGGTATAATGCTAGCCTTAAGCAAAAAACTCAGGGACAGGACCCAGGGACAACATTATCTATATCAATAGCTATGCCTATGTCTATATAAAAATAGAGAAATATAGCCATAGGCATAGCTATAGATATAGATATAGAAAAATATAAAGGTAGAGATAGAGATATAATTATTTTGGCATTTCCATTTTTTTTGCCCATGGAATAATATGAAACAATTACAAGAGTGAATATCATTGAGAAAATATCAAGGTATTAGTTACCATATAATAATGATATTTTAAATATTCAGTAGTAACAACTTCCTAAAACACAGGCATAATGTATTTTAACTTCTTTAACTAAATTCTACTATTCAATTCCTCACTGAGTCTATTTCCTTTGCAATATCTAGCAATTAAATAAATCTGTTGTGTGTCCATGCTTCCCAAAGTTCTGCAGTCCCCACCTTCAGATATTTATTCAATATCTTCCTGGGATCTCAAGTACCTTCCAGAAAATAGAGAAGAGTTGTATTTTCCCTTGAGATGTGAAAAAAGAAAGTAGCTTCTAATTCTGGAAGTATTGAATTTTGAAGTAAAGACTACCCAGTTCATGCCTAAGGATCATTTTAAATTGTCTTCTGTTTTGATGGGTGTTGAAAGCCAAATGAGTGAAAGAAGGCAGGGGTGTGAGTTTCTCTTTGTGTTAGGTATCTTTACAATGTGTTTCTCAGGAGAAGACCCCAATGACGAGGCTAGGAAAATCCTTTCCACCTATCATTCTATCCTAATAGTTTACCACACTGGCGAAACCCACACAACCACCTCAA